AAAATGCTATTGATCTTCTTACTATTTAATCTACTTTTAATTTTGGCTAATTTTAGCATTCACGTGTCTTTTCCAAGGTATCATCACTCAGTTGATGAAAGGACTTCTAAAAGCAAGGGGCAGTTCTTATTTTAGCGAGCATGGGCTATAGGGATGTCAGATAAGGCATACGCCTCAAGTATGTATTCCAGATTTCTAAGTACACAAGTAGGATTTGCGCCCGTAAATTCAAAAAATCCAGTGAATGCTTCTGAATGAATCTAAGATAAAAATGAATAAATCCAATGGACATTTGGAAAATAATTTTGCTCTTGAAAATGTAAAGCTAGAACGATTGTGTTCTTCCCTTACTATGACAGCACTTTAAAAGTAGTAGTGGCGAAAATGACAAGTCGCTAACCTGGGAGTTCATTTGGTTATGGTTATTATATTCAACTTCCTCAAAATTCTATCCTATCTTATCATAAATAAAGTTAATAGGTATCGAGATTATCAGCATTTCATAAAATCACGTATTTCTTAAATTTATACAAGTTTAGATTTGGTCAAACATTGTTGGGATTATTTGGTTACTGAGCAGACCATCAGGTAGAACCACACTTCACTTTTTTCGTATGGATAGGCGCACGAAAAAACATGCTAACTTCTGATCACTGGCATAATAGCATCGCCTTAAGAATTTTTTTATTGTGAAGATGGGATATCAAGTAGTATTTCCTTCTATAAGGAGTAAGTAAACTTTACAAATAGATAGATTCTGATATATCCATAAATATCTTAACATCAAGTAGTTTAAGAGACACTTTAATCTATTAACATAGAATTCCCATGCTTCTAAATCAGAAGAGCATAAAATTCTAGGTTTTTCACATGAATATACCTAAACAAGTTACACTGAATCTTCTGAATAATTTTAATGCTTTAATTAATAATTTTTGGGTGTTGTTGAGTACATTAATTAAAAAAATTCTCAACTATTTTATCGATTCAGAAGACTTTGGTTAGCAATACTTTTTTCTTAACTACGAGGCAAAGAATATCGGAAACTAAGTGCAAGATTTACGATGCAGGTGTGCACTTTCTAGCTTAGTACATGAATACATTTAATCTTACCCTCCTCAGTACTCTGGGCGGTATTCTTCAAGCAAGAGTGCTTAATCAGTGAAAGGCTCCACTCACATATTTTTTAACATGTATTGTTCCATATTCTGCATGGTCGAGAGCATTCTGTGATGACAAAATCTAATGCACGATATGAAAATCATTCTTAACATATCATATTCAATCGATTCTTAGATTTAGGCAGATTGTCTAATGAATTACATGATATTCGAGGGTGATGTCTTTTAAGGAACTATCTGAAGCAGAAATGAATAAAAATGAGCCTTTCATTCCCTTCTTCCCCTTTTCTGTGCCATTATCCCCGAAGGCATTCCCTTTGCATAGCACATAAGCTCAGCACTAACACACAAGTAAAGGTAGTTGATGACCCTCTCTTGCTAAAAGACTACCCCTATGACATCTGGTTACTATTATACGGTGTTTATAGTTGGTGCACGCACAGGAATAAGTACCTTTGGCCCATTTATAACCACCTTTACCGTGCTCAAATAAGGTTGGAAATAAGATCATCATATGGGATTTGAAGTTTTTCACAATTCCTATACCAGATCGAATATAGAGCTCACAATTCCCTCTATTCTGGTGTATAAGATGTTAATGGAGCTAAAATACTTCTCCAGTAGAAATAATAAGAATTTTGCAATTTAAGTTGTAATAAAAAGAAGACATTTTTCAGGTAAATTAGGGCTCCCAAGCATCAGCTTCTGTCAATTATAATAGATTGTTGCCATTAGAAATTTATTTTTTCACCTCAGTTTGCCTGATACAAAATAGCATGCAAAAGGTAGAATAACTACCAATACTGCCTCGATTTCCCTTATTGGGTGAACTACCTGGATTAAATAACAAAATAGTGTACAAACAGGAAATTATGGTGCTGTTTAGACTTCCGTTTCAAATTCAGCCCTTAGGTTTTGAGTCGGGTTCGTACAAGAAAGCTCCTTAATGTTCCTGGCTACAAAATCTAAAATAATTGATAATACTCTCTTTACTTCTTACTACTTAAGATTTTACTGAGACTTTTAAACTTGCGAACTATTAATTAATTATAAATTATTATTATTCTTTGCTACCTATAACCTAGTGGCCCAGTTGAGCTCAAGACTTATTAGAGTGGCTTAGTTCTAGTTTCGATTATCTGGGATTCCTATACTATGTTGGCAAGGTAGAGACTGCTATTTATCTTGAATGTAAATCTAAGATGAAGTGGAATCTTCACTTTGCCGTGGACAATTATATAGCCTTGCCATATGTTGATTAGCTTTTCACTTAATGAGTATTATCTTTCTGTAAGATTATATTTCCTATCTTAACTATGCTTGAATTCACACGATACAATATATGTATCTAAATAAAATTTGTACGGCGTCAGAATGGTAAATGTTTAGTATCCTGGGAGAAAAGTGCCACATACTTATCCACAGGCAAGATTGCTTGCTTGATTGTTTACCCTTTGATACTAAATGGACCTAACTTTGAGGATTTCGAAAATTAACTAATCGTTTTTTTTATTCAAAAGCTGTATTTACTATATTTTGCTTAAGTTAATGTAGGAATGGCATATGAATTTTAAAACAATCATATGAATAGGTCTCATGCTTACACTGAATTTCACATAGCGTTGGTTTCCAGAAGGTATTCTCATCCTTCCTGAAGTTTCCACTTCGCCTAGGTCTCT